TGTCGCTGTCAGTTGGCACTGTCAAGGTCATTCCTTCTTCCCATTTCAGAAACATGCATGCACAGATAAAGTATATGTTGGAAGTGTGGCAGAGGCATTGTCCATTTTCCCCCCCCCTTCATCTGTGCAGAAGGAGAGATGTTTCCTTGCTTTCAAGTCCATCCCATTTACACAAATAAGTGAGGAAGCCGTTACTCTCCAGATGGCACAGAGTTACATTTCCCCAGCATTTACAGGGCTGGGTCGACACATGGAAGAGTTGTCACCTCGACAACATCTTGGAACGGAGGGAGCACCTTGGGAAGCCTTCAAGATAAAAGACGCCTCATTCCTGGAGACAAAAGACAATTATTTTGCGATCAGTTACTAGGTGAGGAAGAGAGCAGCAGAGGGCAGCAGGGGTGCAGTTTTCCCCGACACCTTTTCAGAAAAGCCAGAGGTGGTCACAAACTTCCCAACCTACAACTGCCTCACATCGCTCGAGTTGCAGGCTATTGCATCAGTTGCTTTCTGGCATAAATATTTCAAGCCGAGGCAGTTGCTAACGGAGCGACGGCTTTTGTGTTTTGAATCTGGCCTAAGCCTTATTCCCCCATGAGCAAAAACAGGCTACGTTCTCAAGGTACGTGGAAAGTTGAGGTTGGCAGCTCTGATGACTTTTTCTTGGAGCAACCTGAAGCAAAACTGCGTTGTTGCATTTTGCAGAATTGTCCGCTAAGTCAGTGACAGCCAGTTGGGTCTCGTCGCGGTTAAGGCACCAGGCTAGAAAGTGGGGGATCCCGAGTTCAAATCCCCACGTCACCCTGAAAGCCAGCTGGATGGCTTTAGGTGAGTCGCTCCGTCTCAGCCCAACTCATCTCGCAGGGTGGCGACTGTGGGGAAAATAGGAGGAAGGAACATTATGTAAGTTTGCCACAGGGAGTTACTTATAAAGTAATGGAGGCAGGATAAAAATCTAGTAATAATACAGGCAGTCCTCGACTTAGCAGTCACAACTGAGCCCAAAACTACTGTTGCTAAGCGAGACACTTGCTAAGTGTGTTCCCCCCCTCCATTTTACAACCTTTCTTGCCACAGATGTTAAGTGAATCACTGCAGATGTTAAGTTAGTAACCTTATTACTATCATTATTACTATCATTAGGTGTGAAGTGAATCTGGCTTTCCCATTGACTTTGCTTGTCAGGTCGCAAAAAGTGATCACGTTCATCATAAATACGATCCAGTTGTCGAGCACCTGAATGTCTGATCTGGTGACCCTGGAGGTGCTGCAACGGTCATAAAGTGTGAAAAATGGTCATCAGTCCCCTTTTTTTATGGTGCCGTTGTAACTTCAAACGGTTGCTAGGCGCAACGTAGAGGCGATACGTTGAAGACCACCTGTAAATATTATTGACGAGTGGCCAAATTACAGGATATATTTCCATACCGCAAATATTTCAGGGACTCCCGTCCTAGTTTGTGGCTGGGTGGAAGATTTGGCATTGTTGAGATGGGAGCGTAACCATTTTCTCAGGAATTCTGGAAGTCCACAAGTCATAAAAGGGCCAGAGTTCCCCACCCGTGTTAGATGATGTAGTTACTTCCAAATGGGGATGCCTGTTGGGGAGGATAAGCTATTTGCCAAGTTGTCTCTTTTGTTTTTAAGGCAGAAAAGTAGGTGCACACCTAGAGAACAGGTAGTCCTCGACACGTATGATTATAATGGAGCCTGCCCATCAGTTGTAATTTGGGAGTCTTAAATCTGGTCTTGCCTACAGGACCCACCCGATTGTGCAACCTTTTTCACAGAGGTCATTAAGCGAGCAGTATGGTTGTTAAGCGACTCCATGGTTCGCTATAGGCTGTCTTTGCCAAAAGCCAAGTAAAGGCCGGGCTTTGGGCAAAAACGTTGCTCAATAGTAGTAACTGTGAGAGGGATTTCAGAGTCCTAGTGGACAATCACTTAAATATGAGCCAGCAGTGTGCTTCAGCTGCCAAAAAAGCCAATACAGTGCTAGGTTGCATTAACAGAGGAACAGAATCAAGATCACGTGAAGTGTTAATACCACTTTACAAGGCCTTGGTAATGCCACACTTGGAATACTGCATCCAGTTTTGGTCACCACGATGTAAAAAAGATGCTGAGACTCTAGAAAGAGTACAGAGAAGAGCAACAAAGATGATTAGGGGACTGGAGGCTAAAACATATAAGGAATGGTTGCTGGAATTGGGCGTGTCTAGTTTAATGAAGAGAAGGACGAGGGGGGACATGATAGCAGTCTTCCAATATCTCAGGGGCTGCCCCAAAGAAGAGGGAGTCAAGCTATTCTCCAAAGCACCTGAAGGCAGAAGAAGCAATGGATGGAAACTAATCAAGGAGAGAAGCAACCTAGAACTAAAGAGAAACTTCCTGACAGTTAGAACAATTAACCAGTGGAACAACCTGCCTCCAGAAGTGGTGAATGCTCCAACACTGGACGTTTTTAAGAAGAGACTGGACAGCCATTTGTCTGAAATGGTGTAGGGTTTCCTGCCTGAGCAGGGGGTTGGACTCAATGATCTCCAAGGTCCCTTCCAACTTTATTATTGTTGTTATAAAATGTGGGTCATGTGATTGCGGGTCACTGCAATGGGTCATAAATGCAGGCTGGTTGCCAACATGGATCATATAACTGAGAGTTGGATCATGGGTGCTGGCCATCAGAACCGGGGGGGGGGAAGTACCCCCAGGGGAGTCCGTTGTTAACTTCAAATGGTTGTTAAGTTGAGGACAACCTGTAAGTGCAGTTCAGCAAAGGAAGCTTTTTAATCCCTGTTCTAGCAATGGAACAAAAAGTTCTATTGATATATTGCCTTAATAGCAGGGGTCTTCAAACTTGGCCCCTTTTATGACTTGTGGACTTCAGCTTCCAGAATTCCTCAGCCAGGCACGAGTTGAAGTCCGCAAGTCATAAAAGGGCCAGGTTTGAAGACCCCTGTCTTAGTGATTCAGTGATGTTGCTGGAGTACACATGAACCTTGGTTTTAGTTCTTGAGGAGGAGTTAAGGGGAATACTGTTATTCCCAGAATGACAAAAAAAACTGCACCACTGAATTCTAGTGGCACAATTCAGAGAACTCTGAAATGAGCACCAAAGGCTGACATGTACAGCATTTACTCCTCTGCTAAGCCACTTTAGGCTTTAACCCATAAAAATTATCTTGTTCCTCAGCACAATGTATGAATCAGCAAGCAGGTTTCTCTACGTCCAGTACCAGGGTTGAACTAAATCTTTGTTACCTGGCTGAGTAATTCTGGGAGTTGAAGTCCACAAGTCATAAAAGGGCCAAGTTTGAAGACCCCTGCCTCAATAGTGTCCTTGGTGCAAGAATCGGCTGATTCTTCCTTTTTCTCCCCCAATGTAAGAGGATTGCAGGGAGAAATAAATTTGGCTTGGCCGTTAGTCAGATTTCACAAGGCTGATTTTGAAAGAAGCCTGGCCTTGTATTGGTTTCATTGGAACGCCAGGACTAGAGGAAGCAAACAGAAGCCTCTCTGTCAAAATTTATAACCTGTATCCTACTGGAGGAAAGAGCCAGGGTGAGACTAGACGGAAGGAGCCATAATCTACAGATGAAAGCAGGCACATTAGCAGAAAGAAGAAAAGCCACGTTATCTTGTCTAAATGATTTCTTCAGGAAGGCAGATATCGAGAACGTACCAAGAAAATGCAAAGACTTTCAACGGAAGAGAATATCAGTAGCTCAGCGTTGAGCTCTGGGGTCCTCAGCACTCTCTGAGTTTGGTTGTTTGCTTGCAGGATGTTTCATTATCCAACTAGGTAACATCATCAGTGTTAGTGAGTGTGGGATTTGCTCCCTATTCATCAGCCATCAACAGACACACAGAGATAAACCACATTTACACACCATTTAAAAAAGCTAAGAAGGAAAAGAGCAGAACCCATCTTCTCCAGCAACCAATCCCCAGATAAACAGGGATTAATACCAGAGAAAACAACCAAGCAGAAAGCAGTACCCTAATGAAGGAAATCACACCTCCAAGCTACTGTTTAAACAGGCAGCAAACTCCACACTGTTGGACTGATTATGCTACCTAGTTGGGTAATGAAACATTGGCAAACAACCAAGCTCAGAGACCACCAAGGACTCCACAATAGACTTGTTGGGCTGCTGTCCTGACGATCTTAAAATCAAGAGTAAAAATAGCGCCTCATGCGTAATGTTTAGTAGATGTGGCCTAGGTACCCTTTCCTGGGACTCATCACGAGTTAAATTGATTTGGTCAAAGAGTGGCAATTTGCACACCCAAGGAATGTGGCTGTGAGCTCTTATGACACGCAACCTGCATTTGCACGGTGCCCTTAACCAGGTCAGTCACAAACTTGCTCAATTTTTCAAGGCGTGGAACATCATCCCTTTCAAATTGATCGCTAAGTATGTTCCGCAAACACAGCCCATATGATTAGTTCATGATTTAATGTATTATCCAAACCCAGAAAATAAGATTTAGTAAATCTTATTTTGTGTTAAACCAATTCAGTGACTGTTCAAAGTTACAGTGGCACTGAAAAAAGTGACTGATGGCCGTTTTTCACACTTACAACATTTGCAGCATCCCCAGGGTCACGTGGTCAAAATTCAGGCGCTTGGCAACTGCCTCATATTTATGACCATTGCAGTGTCCCGGGGTCACGTCATCCCCTTTTGCGACCTTCAGACAAGCAAAGTCAATGGGGGGGGGAGCCAGATTAGCTTAACAACCGGGATACTAACTTAACTGCAGTGATTCATTTAACAACTGTGGCAAGAAAGGTCATAAAACTCACTTAATTCTCTCGCTTAGCAACAAAAATTTTAGCTTCGGGTGTGGTCGTAAGTTGAGCACTACCTGTAGAATCACAATCGATTGCATTTAAATCAACGGCTTTGTTGGATGCTGCTGCTCGACCGTCTTTAAAAGTTTGCCTAGAAGACACCTAAAAGTTAATATTAAAAGGATGCCAAAGTGCCCTTCCTGTCCGTGTAATTCATTTATTTGGAAACTTATGTAGTGATGCCTTCCATATCTTACTGATCATTTTCTCCTCCAGATTTCAAAAGGCTTGATTCGAGAAATCCAAAGTCAGAGAAGAGCGTAAACTGCTTCTGCAGCTGTGCAAACATGAAGCTGTTTAACTGGTTACAGGAAAGTGGAGCCTGCAAAGATATGTGGGGCATCAGTGTGTGTGTGTGTTAATGAAAGAAAAATAATCTGGGATTTGCATTTGATAATTATTGTTTTGGGGAAGGGACTGGGACGAAGATGGCGTGTTCTCTTTGTGTTTTATATTCAATCACCCAAGTTCACCGTCTTTACACGGTGAACTTCACATTCAGTAGAGTTTCAGATGACCGGAAACTTTATCCACAATCTCAGCTGGTCCAGGTCCAATGCCCAAGACAGTCCGGGAGCCTGGAGCAATTTGTGTACGGCCGGCATCTTGGATTAAGCTCACAGTCAAGCCAAGCGTTTTGGCCTCGTTTAAGAGCTGAATGAGAGTCTCCTCGTCGGGCGCCTTGAGGACCATCTTCGGTTGTCCACAATATTCCCACTGCTTCAAAAGTTCTGGATTTCGGTGGTGGACTTGCTTATAGGCGGAAACGGCGGCGTGGGCACACTGGGCAGCCACTTTGCCCTTGCCCATCTTCAGGTCATTCCTGACTACGATCACCATCTTGAATTCTCCGTACTCGCCCATGATATTGGCTTCGTTGCCCAGCTCGTTGGCCATCATAGTCAATCTGGATTTGGCTGGCCGGAAGAGCCGAGCTCGTATGCTCCAGCCCAAGCATACTCCACAGGTGACACCGGCAATTAGGCCAAAAACCCCAGGCTTAGCCAGGTAATCCATAATGCATCTGGAGAACAAGGAGAAAAGCAATGGTCGGGACATTTTAGGAAAACTTTGAGTTCTGGCCTTCATGATCACAAACCTATTTTGTGCTTGGAGAGACCAGGAGTCCTTGACTTACAACAGTTCATTTAGTAAGCATTCGAAGTTACAACAGCACTGTTAAAAACTTGACTTATGACCGTTTTTCACACTGACAACTGTTGCAGCATCCCCCTGGCCAGGTGATCAAAATTCAGACACGTGGCAACTGGCTTGTATTTATGATGGTTGAAGTGTCCTAAGATCCTTCTGAGAAGCAAAGTCAGTGGGGAAACCAGATTCAATTAACAACCGTGTTACTAACTTAACAACTGCAGTGATTCACTTAACAACTGTGGCAAGAAAGAGGATACGATGGGGCAAAATTCACTTAACTGTCTTCGCTTAGTAACAGAAATTTTGGGCTCAACGGTTCTCGTAATTTGAGGACTACCCGTTCATGCATTTAACTTTAAGAATACTAACAGAACATGCAATGCTGATATACTGGTTTGGCAGAACTCTCTTGAAAATGCAGATGACAACCTATTGGAATTCAGCCTTAAACTGATGTCCACAGAAGACAGTCCCATAATATTTACAAATATTCTTACTTCCTTGAAAGTCTTTGGTTAAAATATTACGTTTTATTCATGCTAGTAAAGATTTGAAAAGTACTCAATTCTGAGGGGCCTTTGATGTTTTCATTTTAACCCTGAACTCAAAATATGTCTCTATCAGTATTCTAAATAACTTGCAATTATGCATAAAGTCCTCCACTAACCACTGTTTCTTTAGTGACTAAAAGCACTGGTCCTCGCACTTATGACCATTGCAGTACCCACATGGTCATGCGATCAAAATTTGGGCATTTGGCAACTAACACATATTTATAATGATTGCAGTGTCCCAGGGTCATGTGATTGCCGTTTCTGACCTTCCTAGGCAGCAAAATCAATGGGGGAAGCCTGATCTGCTTGATGACTGCATGATTCACTTAACAACCATGGCAAAAAAGACAGAAAACTGGGCACGATTCAGTTAAAAACCACCTTACTTAGGAACAGAAATTCTGGTCCCAATTGTGGTCGTATGTCAAGGACTACCTGTTGCAGTGTCCCAGGATCGTGTGATCCCATTTTGTGACCTTCTGACAAGCAAAGTCAAGGGGGGGAAAAGCAAGATTCACTCAACAACCGTGTTACTAATTTAAGAACTGAAGTGATTCCCTTAATAAATGCAGCGAGGAAAGTCATAAAACGGGGCAAAACTCACTCAGCTAATGTCTCATTTAGCAACATAAATTTTGGGCTCGATTGTGGTCATAAGTCATACTACCCGTATGTTGGGCTAAACATACTACCTGTATTTTTATTTGCTCCGCTCTTATACCTAAGCACAGACGAGACCTTTTTCCCTTTCCAGCTGGCATCCTGGTAGGGAGGCAGGGACCAGCCCCAAGTCACCTCCCGAGCCTTGGCAGTTGAAGGGGAAGCGGGGCCTAGGCCTCGCCACCCCCAACGCTGCTCCCCACTGAATCCCATCCCAGTTTCCCTTGTGGGTGATCCATTTCTGGAGGCTTTTAAGAAAAGTCTGGATAGCCCAGGGGTCTTCAAACTTGGCCCTTTTATGACTTGTGGACTTCAACTCCCAGAATTCCTCAGCCAGGCACGCCTGGCTGAGGAATTCTGGGAGTTGAAGTCCACAAGTCATAAAAGGGCCAAGTTTGAAGACCCCTGGGATAGCCCTTTGATTGAAATGGTACAGGGCAGTATTTCTCAACCGTGGCCGTTTGAAGGTGGGTGGACTTCAACTCCCAGAATTCCCCAGCCAGCAAAGGTCCATCACTGGAGGTGGCTGGCTGGGGGATTCTGGGAGTTGAAGTCCACCCACCTTCAAATGGCCAAAGTTGATACACTGGTATAGGATCTCCTCCTCGAGTAGGGGGTTGGACTAGAAGACCTCTAAGGCCCCTTCCAACTCGTTGTTCTTGTTATTATGCAAAGAAGCCCCTTCAAAAGGCGGCAGGCCGTTCCATTCCTCTGTACCGCCCCCCCCACCTCTTTTTTTTTTTCGGCCCACCTTCTTTCCCTCCGACTCCTGGCTGTCTCTCAGCCTCCGCCGACGTCACGCTCCCAGACGTCACAAAAACACCCCAGCCAATCACGGCGCGGCGCGTGCCGAAGTGGAATGCCAACTCCCGCGATGGGCGGAGCGGCGAGAGACAGCTCGACCAATCGCCTTTCCGCTTTCCCTATAGAGCGGCGCCTCGCTCGTGGCCGGACCCCCCCACCCCCACCCTATTCCCCGCCGCCATTTCCCTCCCCCACCCCCCATCCTCAGTGGGCCCGGCCGTGCTGGGGCGGCCCTCATTAGGATGAAGGGGCGAAATCAGGAGTGGGGAGTCCTGGGAGTTTAGGACATCTTACTTTTTTTTTTCTTCTTCTTCTTCTTCTTCTCCCCGCTTCAACGTTTCAACTCGCCAGGTGGCAGAAAACCGGAAAGGGGGGCCGGGCTTCCGGCTAACGAGGCCCGGAAGTGACGCCCCGTCGCCTCTTGTTGGATGGGCGGGGCTGAGGAGCCGACCCATCCCTCACTTCCGGGTTGGCCCTAGTCCAGGAGGCCGAGCCGGAGGAGGAGCCGCTCGCAGCCGTAGCGGCGGCCGCGCTAGCAGCCCCAGCAGCAGCAGCAGGAGCGGCGGCACAGCGGTCGGACGCAGCTGAGGAACCCCGCGCGTATGTCCGTCCCTGAGCTGACGTAAGTAGCGGCGAGGCCTGGAGGGGAGTCGGGGCCTGCCTACGGGTCCCCGGCAGGGCCACAAAAGGGTGAACGACCCCCGAGGACAGAAGGAGCCCTCCGCGGAAGGGTCCCCGCTTTCCTCCGTTCTCTTTCCCCCGCAGGCTCCATAATCCCCGGCTGTGGAGCGAGGGTCCTCTCCCCTCCCTGCCTGCCTGCCTGCCTGCCTGGGAGCAGCCGAAGCCCCTCCACGTGGCCCTCCGAGGAGCCGGCCAGGCTGCTCCCGCATCCTGCCGGCTGTCTCTGTCTGCCCAGACCCCCGCCCCGAATCGGTCTCTCCCGATGGGTGGCCTCGCGCCCCTCCCGACTGCAGGCACCCACCAGATTTCAGGTTCCGGAGAGGAGCTAGAAAAAAGGGACCTTGGAGGTCATCTAGTCCGACCCGGGACCCGTTTCAGACAAGCAGGAGAAATTATACCATTTCAGACAAGTGGCTGTCCAGTCTCTCCTTAAAAGCCTCCAGTGATGGAGCAGCCACAACTTCTGGTGGCCAGCTGTTCCTTGTTTCGTTCCAAACCTAGCGGGTTAATGAAAAGGCCCTTGAAGAGTGTATTGAGCCCAAAGATTGACAGGGCAAGTGGGACAGCAGGGAAATGCTGGAGGGGGTTGTGTGTGTGTGTGTGTGGGGGGGTGTCTGTCCCGATGAGACTGAGTATACCGTGGACAAGGAGAGAAGCCACCGGGAATTAAGGAGAAACTTCCTAACAGTGAGGACAATTAACCAGTGGAACAGCTTGCCACCAGAAATCATGGTGGTCTTTAAGGAGAAGACTGGATAGCCACATGTCTGAAACAGTATAGGGTCTCCTGCTGGAGCAGGGGGCTGGACTAGAAGACCTCCAAGGCCCCTTCCAGCTCAGAGCCTAATTAGGGCAGAACTAGGAATGGGCTCCTCTCGGTTGGTGTAAAAGAAGCAGATCTAGTTGGAAGGAAGGCTGTAAAGGACCACCTCCACATTGGTAGGGATAATTATAGGAAAGAAATCCTTACATTCTCCGCCATTCAGTTAGAACTGGAGAAGCTTCTTGGATGAGAAGCGAAAAGTCTTCAAGGAAAAACCAAGAAAGTCCAGTTGCCTTTTAAAAAAGCACCTTTGGGACAACCGTGACTTGGATGACAGAGTCTTGATAGATGTGTGTGGGGGGGGGGAAGCAGTAGGTTTGGATTTTTAAATGGTGGGATGCCTTTGTTTGAAAATTTTAGCATGCATCTCTCTTGAGGTCCTGCTAGCTCAAAACTAATGGTTAGTTCTGTGACTGAGCTTTTGCAAGAACCAAGGAGTAGAGATGTGTGTATTGTGACCTTGTATTTCATTCTCCACCTCTGTGCTTGCTTCGGTCCGAATTGAAGCTCCTTCTGGCTTTTTCCAATAAAAAATATATTACATTTTAATTTTGTTTCTCTAGTTCAGTGTTGGCAATCCCTAGGAAATGGGTTAAAACAGGTTTCAGAGGAAGATGAGCAGCTGTCTTCTATCTTTCCCTAACAATTGAAGGGTTAGTTCAGATAGAGCGTTTCATCCCTTTAGGATCTTCACACCAGATAATTTTCTTCCCTTTACTCCCCCTAGTGTCTATATTTAGCACTGATGAAGCCAAATTGATATTTTGCAACCTGCTTTCTAAGAAAAACATTTTCCTAAAAATGGGCGAGATTGCAGATTTGGGATCAGTTTGTATCCAAAGTATGTTAGATATGTGATGGCTAAAACTGGACTTTCAGACATTGCCTAGTCATTTGTGATAGGCAAGATTTGACAATGCACTTCGCAGTGGGTTTAGGGTTTCCTGCCTGAGCGGGGGGGGTTGGACTAGATGACCTCTAAAGGTCCCTTCCAACTTTATTATTATTGTTATTGGTGATCTTTTATTCCTGTTCGTATTAACAGTTTTAGAATTCTGAAGGATCATAATTGTAAAACTCGCTTGCGGAACTTTGGGAGATGGGTCAAAAGAAATAGGTCAAGAGAACTAAGAAGCGTAGTCTGAAAACTTGAGATAGTATTCTTATTGTTGGATGACAGTAAATCCTTACTAATGGTTCTGCTTTGTAGTTTGAAGTATATCACAACTGCTGGAAATTTATGGAGTTTTTGAAAGCTGAATTGCTCTCGGGTGTTCAAAGTCTCACTCCAGCTTCTCAAAAATTCTGTGCGCGTATGTATTTTCATGTCAAACAAAGTTCACCTGTTTCTTACTTCTGAGCTTGTTATTTATTGAAGCTTTTCATTTTTTTAAATTTCTACTTAATTTCTACAAAATCTAAATTTCGATTGCTGCTGAATTGTGCAATAGGTAACTAAGATTTAGTTCAGCCCTCGTACTGGACATAGATAAACCTGCTTGCTGATTCATACATTGTGCTAAGGAACAAGATAATTTTTATGAGTTAAGACCTAAAGTGGCTTAGCAGAGGAGTAAATGCTGTACACGTCAGCCTTTGATGCTCATTTCACAGTTCTCTGAATTGTGCCACTAGAATTCAGTGGTGCAATTTTTTCCCCTCATTCTGGGAATAACAGTATTCCCCTTAACTCCTCCTCAAAAACTAAAACCAAGGTTCATGTGTACTCCAGCAACATCACTGAATCACTAAGACGGGGGTCTTCAAACCTGGCCCTTTTATGACTTGCGGACTTCAACTCCCAGAATTCCTCAGCGAGGCACAAGTCATAAAAGGGCCAAGTTTGAAGAGCCCTGCACTTACAGATAATCCACAATTGAGCCCCATATTTTGGTTGCTAAGAAATATGATTATTAAGTAAATTTTGTGACTTTTATGACCACAGATGTTAAGTGAATCATTGCAGAGGTTAAGTTAGTAACCCCAGCTGTTAAGTGAATCTGGCTTCCCCATTGACTTTGCTTGTCAGAAGGTCGCAAAAGATGATCACATGACCCCAGGACCCTGCAACGCTCATAAATATGAACCAGTTGCCAATCATCTGAATTTTGACCACGTGATTATGGAGATGCTGCAACGGTCGTAAATGTAAAAAACATTGACTCGTGGACTTCAACTCCCAGAATTCCTGAGCCAGCATGGTTCAGCATGGAAACCTCTCCATTTCCCCTCAGCATGGCTGGCTCAGGAATTCTGGGAGTTGAAGTCCACGAGTCATAAAAGAACCAAGATTGCCTACCCCTGATCTAGACTGATTCTTCTTTTTTATTGATATAGATTTTATTAGTTTTTATAGGGTTAGGAATAAGGTGGGGTCGGGGTTGGGGTTTTTCCAAATAACATTTTCAATATTTAGCAAACAGCATAATGTCTGGGTTCATGTATTATCAAACGATAGTAGATATAGTTAATTATAAACAATATGTTAATTAATCACTCAATAGCCGCCTTCTTGCTAGACTGATTCTTCTTTTCACCGCTCTCCCTGACTCTGCCATTCCTCCTCCTGCAGCTAAGACATTAAAATAGCCAAAATCTGCTCCGATAGATAAGAAATATGTGAACTAATGTGGGGAGTTTGAGAAATGGCATCTGAAATTCTAGGAGTCAGAACACTAATTAGGTCACCTTTCCCAAAATTCAATGTTGGTTGTTGTTCCCCAGTAATGCTGGCTTGTTCTGAAGGACTATTGAGTTTTTTTCCCCTGATATTATAAGAATACTGTTTTCTGCTCTTAAAGAATTGCTCACAAATACTCTTATGATAGGACTTGCCATATAATAATAATAATAATAATAATAATAATAATAAAAAGTTGGAAGGGACCTTGGAGGTCATCTAGTCCAACCTCCTGCTCAGGCAGGAAACTCTATACCAGGGATACGCAACCATGGCTCTTTTATGACTCGTAGACGTCAACTCCCAGAATTCCTGAGCCAGCCATGCTGAGGGGAAAGGGAGAGGTTTCCATGCTGAGCCATGCCGGCTCAGGAATTCTGAGAGTTGAAGTCCACGAGTCATAAAAGAGCCAGGGTTTCCTGTCCTACCCTATTTCAGACAAATGGTTGTCCAATCTCTTCTTAAAAACTTCCAGTGTTGGAGCATTCACAGCTTCTGGAAGCAGGTTGTTCCGCTGATTAATTGTTCTCACTGTCAGGAAGTTTCTCCTTAGTTCTAGGTTGCTTCTCTCCTTGATTAGTTTCCATCCGTGGCTTCTTGTCCTGCCTTCAAGGGCCTTGGAAAATAGATTGACTCCCTCTTCTTTGTGGCAGCCCCTGAGATATTGGAACACTGCTATCATGTACCCCCTCGTCCTTCTCTTCATTAAACTAGACATGAAAATAGTTTGGGCCAAATCTTTGTTGATTCTACACACTCTGTCCCATTGTGTAAACAGAT